GAAGATCTGGAGCCCAAGTGAAGGGGGCAGTGTGGAGCCCTGAGTGAGGGGGTCAGAGATGAGTAGCCCTGAGTGAAGGGGGCGGTGTGGAGTCCCGGTGAGGGTGTGGAGATTAGAAGCCCTAGTGAAGGGGGAGAAGAACCAGAGGGCTGAGGTCCCAGTACGTTTATATACACACACAGTTGCCCCCAGAAGGGGCCAGAGCAAGCTTAGACCCAGTCGGGTAATTGGCTGGCCGCTACCCTGGTGAGGGGCGCAGGAGAGGCCCCAAAGATGGTATGTCTGCCACCCAAGGAATGGACTAGCTAAGCCTATGGCCTAAGGGGCCCACTGCAAGAGGGAGCAAGGCAGAATAAGTTATCAATGCATGAAAGAGACCCTGTGAGAGGAGGGTGGTATGAATGTGTGTGTGACTAAGGCCTGATGGTGAGCCTAAGCTTGGTCCAGCTGTAGGCCGGGAGCACTGTAACATCTGGATGCCATCTGCGAGGCAAGGGCTGCGGCATAGGGGAGGTACGGAGCCACAGATAGCGCCCCCTGGCATCGGGGCAAGAATGGGCAGCCTCCCGCGTTAACATCTTAATTAATTAAGAACAAGGCATGGCAGGCGAGTCAGGTGGGTGGCGTGCCCAAAGGCTAGTGGGGAACCTAGCACAGTGGCTAGGCAGGGAGCCCCACCTTGCCACATCCCCCAAGGATCTGTCCTTGTACCGATTCTCTTTAACGTCTTTATCAACAAAGTGGACACTGGTATCAGAAGTGGACTGGCCAAGTTCACTGATGACACTAAACTTTGGGGTACAATATCCACACCCAGGGATAGGCTGGTGATTCAGACTGACTTGGATAGGCTTAGAAAGTGGGTGGATATAAACCTGATGATGTTCAATACCGAAAAATGGAAAGTACTCCACCTCAGCGGGGAAAAAACCTGCAGCACGCTTTTAGGCTCAGGAGTGCTACACTCACTAGCACCATGGCCAAAAGAGACTTGGGGGTCATGATTGACCACAAGATGAACATGAGCCACCAATGCGATGTCACAGCTGGTAAAGCGAACAAAATTCTGGCTTGCATCCATAAATGATTCTCAAGTCAGTCTCAGTATGTCATCCTCTCGCTGAACTCGGCCTTGGTGAGGCCACAGCTGGAGTACTGCATCCAATTCTGGGCTCCACAATTCAAGAAGAATGTAGATAAGCTTGAGAGAGTCCAGAGGAGAGCCATGCGCATGATCAGAGGGCAAGATAATAGACCTTATGAAGAGAGGTTGAGAGCCATGGGACTCTTAAGCCTGGAAAAGCTCAGGCTCAGGGTGACCTGGTCGCTGCCTATAGGTACATCAGGGGTGTGCATCAGGATGTGGGGGAATGTCTGTTCACCAGAGCACCCCAAGGGATGACAAGAACCCCGGGTCACAAACTCCTCCAAGACTGTTTTAGGCTGGACATAAAGAAAAACTTCTTTACTGTCCAAGCCCCCAAGGCCTGGAATAGACTCCCTCCAGAGGGGGTGCAGGCACCTAATCTGGACTCTTTTAAGAAATGTTTGGATGCTTACCTTGCTGGGATCCTTTGACCTCAGCTGACTTCATGCCCCTGGGGCAGGAGGCTGGACTTGATGATCTTTCAAGGTCCCTTCTAGCACTAACATCTATGAAACAATAATATACAATGTCAGTTATTCAACATTTGGCAGCATGTTGATCAGCCCTTTATGCATAAATGTTGCATGTCCCCGAAGGCTGGGGGTATGGCGAGCTCCCGCAGGTGGTGGCAGTGCTGTCAGCAGTGGGAGCATGGTGGCAACAAGCAGGGAGATCCTGCAGGTGGCCACAGCACTGTCGGTGGGGGGAGGACAACCACCTGCAGACGCCACCGGCAGCATCAGCAGTGGCCAGTGGCACTCGCGGACCGCCCGCAGAATCCACCGGCAGTGTTGGCAGCGAGTGGGAGGTGGGTGGCAAGTGTTAACTGCCTGCAGGCACCACTGACAGTGTCAGCAGCACCTTTTCGCAGGGGTGCACCGCCACATGCAGGGGATGCACGTGCACCCGCATGCACCCCCTACGCGTCGTCAATGCCTCTATGCATCAGGGAGAGCCTGGGAGCAATGCAACATTTTCCTGAAACACCTCCTTTTTGTCCATGTGGTGTCTTACTAATGGCAAAATCCACCCTTAATCAAAAGAAGCAACTATTAACATTTGACATCTTTCACCTGTACAACAGGTTCCACACCATACGTTGACCCAAAACTAGATTGATAAGGATCTGTACAGGCAGAAGCATATAAGTCTGGCCAATCATATGCCCCTTGGTAATCTCCCTGCTGCAAAAGGAAAGCCTGCAAATGGTGCCATGATTGGCAAAGGCACTTCTGTCCCACAGTGGCTTCTTAAGCAAAGGTGTGGCCACCTCTTATTTCAGGCTAGTTGGCATCTTATCTTTCCAGCTTTTCCAGGTCCCCAAATCATGAGAACTGATTTAAAAGTACTGAGATTTTAAAAGAGGAAGTTTTTTTTTTCTTGTCTTATTTGAGACTCATTAGAGGCTTCACAAATAAAAAAAGAAATAAGAAAATTGGTAATGCTAACTTCCCAACATTAGCATTAACACTTCCTGCAGTTAAATAATACTTTTCACAAGCCACAAGAAGTATAGATTCCCCCCCACCCCCTGCCCCCAGACTGTTGTTTGTTCAGAAACTCTCTACATTTGACACTGCCCAGGAACACAGTACTACAATTACTTGGGTTGCAGCTGAGTTTAAGACTGAGATAAAGTGTAAAGTGTTTTTTAGGTGGGTGGTGCTGGTGTGGGGACATAAAAGATCTGGGTCCTTTTAACATAGATCTAACCAACTTACTCTCACCTCATTCCTTCAGATGCCTTGATGTTACAGTACCTTTTCTGAACTTTGACACTTCTCCCACTAAAGAAGTAATTTTGGGTCTGTGTTGATTGATCCATAATGTAGGTCAGCAAAGTCTTGTAGTGAGACAACAAAACCTTGGATGTATTACAGAATATTAACTGTCATCACTCTCAGTATAAGCATTTATACACTTGTCCATCTTCAAACAGTAGTTTCCTGTTCTTACAATAGTATCCCTGCCTTGCAGTAGCAGATACTTGGCGGAGGGGTTTCTGGTCCACCCTTCGGTAAAGAAAAAATCAGGAGGGTACATGCTGGTATATTCAAAATAGCTTGTTTGGTTTTCATACAAGGCATGGAACAGAGACAGTCAGACAGCTGGTTCATTTTCTCTTTTTCCAGGAATGTCAGCTCAACATTACTACCTGGTTCCATAGAATATGAGTTGACTCTACTAAGCCCACTCCAGAGAGAGAACTCTGTAACCTGGGCAGTACTCCAAGAGGTACCCCCTCTCCAATTGAAGGGATCAAAGCAGGTGCACAAGCGCTGTGGGAGGTGTAGGAACTCTCCTCCCCCTATAGAGCAGAGCCAGATCAACAATGGGGACTTAACCATATACCTTTTAATGAGAGAACAATACTGGGAACATAACCAGTATAAACCAGGGGGTATAGGGGACACTACAATGCCCCGAGGGGACAGGATTCAACAAAGGTTAGACACACTCATAGACATATTCATCCAGTTGACAAAAGACAGAGTTAACCAAAGTGTAAAACACAAACTGCAGAACAAACAATACTGGTTGGTGAAATATAAAAAGGCACGAAATACAAAATGTCAAATGACAAGGAATATAGGTACTTGGAGGGGGAGAGAGCACAATGGCCCCTTTCCACTACAATAAGAACTCATATCTGTCACTTCACACATCCTAAGTCACCCCAGCTAGAACTTGAACTCAGATTTCCCATAGGGTGGGCAGAAACTCTATCACGCAGCCACCAGTGCTGGAATTCTGCTAAGCTACTAGGGGTCTTGACCTTCCTGGAGCCCCGGCCTCACATTGAACTGCCTGGCCTCTTGCTGGAGGAGCTGGAAGCAGAGCTGGGAACCTCTCAGGTCACTGCTCAGATCCTTGCTAGAGCCAGGGAGCCTCTCCTGCTGGCCACAGCCTCTCGTAGGCAATCCTGGAGCCCAGCAGGAGCCTCTCCTGCCCGCCGCACGCCGTGCTGCTGAGGGTCCAACTGCTGCCTACAGGTCCCTCTCCTTCAGGCTCTTCTGGGGCAACTGCTCCCACCCCGCTAACCCAGCTCTTGCCAGCATTTTGAATCTCCTTCCTTTTGGTCCCTCGCTAGTCTCCCCTGAGTCAGTTGCGCTGCCTCTTTTATCCCCATCCAGGTGACCCCAGAGGCCAATCAGGGGACACGGAGGGTAAGTCCCTGGGGCCTGATTGGCGAGGAAAGGGAATCCCAAGTCCTCCAATCATCTTTTGCCCCTTCAAAGCCCCTGGGCTAAGTCACTGCCAGCCAGACTGTCACAACTTCTCCTGCACTCTCTCACAACTCCCTCTTCAAACACCATTGTGTCAGCATGGACTATTACATTAACAAGATCAACCCAGCCTTTCATCCCAGAAGTGAACAATTGCTTATACACAAAGGAAAAAAAAACATAGAAGACAATGCCACCATGTGATGTGTACTACATCAATATCATGCTTTTCATTATAGGATGTATGTGCCTTGCAAGAGGTTACAACAAGCAGGCTACATAGCTTTTATTTCCTTCTTTCTTCCCCTGGTTATGGGTCCTCTTGACTATTCACCACAAGTGAATGGTGCCACACTAGTAGGACCAGGCTTTATGGGAAGGTACTCACTGACCAAAGAGATAAATTGTTATAGTTCAGTTATCACTGTACATTCCAAAGCATATGAAGTGTCCTTGATAAGCTGTAGTCATTTTGCTTCTGGTCAAGCCTTTACCCAATAAACTGTTTTTTCCATGGCAGTTACTAGACCAAGTAACAAAACTCCCCACTTTTTTTAAATGTAAAGAGAAAAAAGAGAGAGAGGATTATAATCACATACAAAACCTTGTTGTCTTTCCTCCTTCAGCTCATTTGAAAGGAGCCCTGGAGGAACGGGCCTCAGAACATGAATTACTCTCTCAGCAGGCACGAGCAGAAAGCCTGGTGAGGAAGCTGTCTTCTTTAATTGAAAAAGCGATGCATTCTCTTGAGCAGAATGACCTGGAATACTTCAAAGGTAAAAATAAATTATACCAACAGTGGTGGAGAAGGACATTTATTATTTAGGCTGGAACTGTTTGTGTTGAAATGTTTTGAAGTACTATAGTTACTGAAAAGAAACAAGTTTACTCATTATAGGCAGAGGGGCATCTCTTATGCATAATGCATGAAGTATACTGTAGGTTTTTAAGAAGCGAGGGCTATTTAGCAGTTAGAGATTGGGACTGACAGTTTGAATTCCTGTGCTGCGTCCACATGAGTGGGAATTTGTGGTTTCCTCTGCCTCAAAGCCTTTCTATAATTGTTTTGTTTCACTCTCACACCTAAAAAGTTTGCACATCCTTCCAGAATCCTTTCCTATCATTTTAGGGAGCAATTTTAAAGCCTTTTGAGGCACCGTGAAACATGTGGTGCGCATGAATTCCAGTGCACAGAAATCCCGGTATCTAAAAAAAATGGGAAAAAAACGTGTCTGCAGCATGCACCACCAGAAATTGGAGCCTGGTCAGCCAGAGCCATACTCCAGCTACAGGACAGGCTCTGCGTGCCCGGATCACTGCCACTGCAGTCCTGGGAGATCGCTAGGACCCCAGGTTAGGTTGCTGGGGCCAGCCCAGGTGCTGGCCCCAGCTTCCTCTACCCCACCCTGGATAATTTGTCGCATGCCAAAGTGCACATGCAGGCACATGCACGGAGACAAGTAGCAGCAGCACAAAAATGTGCCGCTGCTATTTGTTCTGGGGGAAATGCATGTTCCCATGCATGGGGATGCACCCCTGGGTGCTATTCCTCGTTCAGCCACTAACTGTTGGCCAGCCCAATTCACTTAGGGCGGTGTTCTATTCTTTTCTGGCTATCTAGATGATTATAGTTGGTCATCTAAGTCCCCAAAATGCCACTTATGCAGAGGATGACATTCTATTCATGTGTATAGTACACTGTGGGCAGAAAGTGCTAAAATCTGTGATTTTTAGATGGTTGCAGAAATCTAATGTATGCTTCATGCCTTCCATGTTTATGCCCTCTTCAAATTGCCAGGGCCATAGTCTCTGAGTAGGAATGATACACTTGAAGATATTTGTTGCAAACAAAAGTGATTTCTTTTAATAATTGTTTTGTTTCATTCTCACACCTAAAAACTTTCCACATCCTTCCAGAATCCTTTCCTATCATTTTAGGGGGCAGTTTTAAATACTGGGCCTGGCCCCTTTGCTTTGGGCATAAAGACAACGCACCATTCATGGTAACAGACTAATTTGAATCTGACATACCTATGGGGCAGTGTGCGCGCATGCTGGAGCAGTCTCTGTAGTACATTCTGTCTTTGTTAATGAAAGACAGATCCAACCATGCAATGGTTAGAAGACTTGTGAGTTTACGATGTGAGCATCACTCCTCTGCCACTTCATTATTTATGGATTTCCTGTTTTCATTTGCTTTCAGAATTTGAGCCAATTTTAGGACCAGACTTTTGGATACTTCCTCATTCTTGGAACCAGACAGACTCAACACTTGCCTATCCTGAATTTGGTGACCCTGATTGTTTTAATGAGGAAATAAGTGATTCATGCTTTACATATTTGCTAGGAACTTGGTATGTTTTATTCCCATTAACACTTTTACCACTGCTCTTCATCCCTAAAAGTGGATACACTTTTACCATTGTTCTTTGTCCCTTCTCCCACCTCTGTCTGCATTCAGAAATGAAAAAGATGAGCTACACTCTTCTGCAGGAGAGAAATATGTTTTTACATTTAGTTATTGGGCTTTTTATTTTCAGAGGCTTGCACTGTTCATTAGTGTTGTTCTATTTGCACAGGAAAGATAACGGCAAGCCCTGCATTGTAACCAATGCCTGCAGGAACATCATGACAAAATTTGGCTGCTCAGATTACTCCCTGTCACATCAGCTTTTCTACTTCATGTTTGCAGATATGGTAAGTGCCAGATTTGTCACCTTAGAATTATCAGCCACAGACAGATTATACACGGATTCAAGAGGATGTGATTGGTGGATTTTCTGGGTGTTCACCGAATGCAGTTTTGGTATCCTGTAACTTAGAATTGTAATAGAAATGGAAAGAAGAGGTTAGGAGGCAGATGTTGACAGGGAGAGAGCAATGTCTTCAATGAGATATATAAAGAGAGGGAGGGAAGCAGGAAAGCTATGGATGTACAAAGACATCTATGTGGTACAAATTAGATCAGGTATGTGAGGTAGAAAATATGTGAGGAGAAACCCCCTCTGGAGACAGTGTCATACACAGGTAATTGACAGTGTCTCTTGATATTCTAAGATGTCAAATTAAATTAATAGTTTGGACTTCAGGACCAAACAGAGTTCACTATCTGCAACTATAGTAAGGAAGCTAAGGATAAAGGAAAAGGAAAAAGATCCCACACAGAAAGACATACAGCAATATATTCATTTTGTCCTGGAGTGAAGGCCACCGATATTTTTTCATGCCAATGTAACTAAAATGGAAGGCTTCAACACTTCAGTGGAGCATAGAAAAAAAAGGTATAATTCCACCCCGTGTACGTAAGTTCATGTTTGTAAAGTATGTGCAGAAATAGGCCATGGATTTAGAAAGTTTGGTTTTCCTGACAATTTCCCCACTAAAAAAGTTGGGAAAGATAGCAATGAGGACAGGGTCAGAAAAAAAAGGAGAGAGAAAAAGAAAAAGAGAAGCCAAGGGAAAAAGTGGAAAGAAAAGAAGTGGTGAAAAAAAAATCTTCCATGAGCAAGAAAAAAAAGCCTTTTACAGCAGAGGAGTGAATAGATTTTCCTGTACACCATAACTAGGCAGACTGTCCAGCAAGGGAAGTTTAAATGACCCACAAATTGGGAATCTGACAAAGGATCATATGACTTGCTGTACATTTTGAAAAGGAAGGAGTGTGTGTGTGTGTGTGTGTGTGTGTGTGTGTGTGTGTGGAGAAACATGGAGGGTGTTCAACATTAAACATAAATCAAATCATAGTGGGGTCTCTAGTGCTGTCCCTCTACACACAAATACTTAGACCTCAAAGAGTAGGTAGAGTAGGTAGGTAATCCCTACATGGATCAAAGGGGGCAAGAGGGTGCAAAGGCCCCCATGGCTCACCAAAAGCATCCGGAAACGTCTCCAAGCTAAAAAGGAGGCGTACACCCAATGGAAGGGAGGGGCCATCACCAGGGAGGACTATACCTCTGTTGCTCGGGGCTGCAGGGGGGCGGTCAGCAAGGCCAAGGCGGAGATGGAACTGGGACTAGCTACCCAGATCAAGGACAACAAGAAGTCCTTTTTAAAATACCTAGCGGGTAAAAAGAAGGTACCAGGTAATGTGGGGCCTCTGCAAGACACGCTAGGAAATCTGGTCATCACACCAGACAGCAAAGCTAACCTATTTAACAATTTCTTTGCCTCCATTTTTCTGAGTAGGGACCTTGTCTTCCCCCATACTGGGACCCCCGTAGGCCCTGTGGGAGGTGCACCCAGGCCTAGGGTCAGCAAGGACTTAGTCAGGGAACTTCTGGAGGGACTGGACATATTTAAATCAGCTGGTCCTGACGATCTCCACCCCAGAGTGCTGAGGGAATTGGCAGAGGTCATTGCGGGACCCCTGGCATGGCTTTACGAGCACTCATGGTGCTCTGGTGATGTGCCAGAGGACTGGAAAAGGGCCAATGTGGTTCCCATTTTCAAAAAAGGGAGGAAGGAGGACCCAGGAAACTACAGGCCCATTAGTCTTACCTCGGTCCTAAAGAAGATTTTTCATAAAATTATCCTGGCGCAGGTCCACGAGGAACCAGCAGGGGAGGTTATGCTTAGGGGCAACCAACATGGGTTCATTAGAGGCAGGTCCTGTCAGACCAACCTGGTGGCCTTCTATGACCAGGTCACAAAATCCCTGAATGCAGGTGTCACGGTGGATATAGTCTTTCTGGGCTTTAGGAAGGCCTTCGACACTGTCTCTCACCCCATTCTCATTAAAAAACTAGGAGACTGTGGTGTCGACACCTACACAGTCAGATGGGTCGCTAACTAGCTGAAGGGCCATACCCAGAAAGCAGTGATGCACAGGTCTTATTTGACCTGGAGGGATGTGGGCAGTGGGGTTCTGCAGGGCTCGGTCCTCGGGCCTGCACTGTACAACATTTTCATCAGCAACTTGGACGAGGGGGTAAAAAGCACCCTGTTCAAATTTGCAGATGACACTAAAATGTGGGGAGAAGTGGGCGTGCTAGAAGGGAGGAATAGGCTGCAATTGGACCTAGACAGGTTACAGGGGCGGTCAGGAAGGCCAACCGCACCTTGTCGTGCATCCACAGATGCATCTCAGGCAGGTCCAAGGAGGTGATCCTCCCCCTCTGTGTGACACTGGTCAGGCTGCAGTTGGAGTACTGCATCCAGTTCTGGGCGCCGCACTTCAGGAGGGATGTGAACAACGTGGAGAGGGTTCAGAGGAGGGCCACCAGCATGATCAGGGGGCAGCAGGGCAGGCCCTACGAGGAGAGGCTAAGGGACCTGAACCTGTTCAGCCTCCACAAGAGAAGGCTGAGGGGGGATCTAGTGGCTGTTCAAAAACTAGTCAGAGGGGACCAGCAGGCACTGGAGGAGTCCCTGTTCCCTCGAGCACTACCAGGAGTGACAAGAAATAATGGTCACAAGCTGGCAGAGGGTAGATTTAGGCTAGGTATCAGGAGGCGCTACTTCACTGTCAGGGCGGCTAGGATCTGGAACCAGCTTCCAAGATAAGTTGTGCTGGCTCCTACCCTGGGGGTCTTTAAAAGGAGGCTGGATGAACACCTGTCTGGGGTCATTTGACCCCAATACTCTTTCCTGCCAGGGCAGGGGGTCGGACTTGATGATCTACTCAGGTCCCTTCCGACCCTACTAACTATGAAACTATGAGGTAGGATAAGGTACCAAAAACAGCAGCCTGTACATTTAATGGGCATGGTTTTCTGCTGTTGCCTGCATTAGTGGGTAGTTCCATTCCTTTATTTCTAACCCAGGTATCTTGGTTGGGCACTTGGATGTTTGATGGCAGAAACGCACACAGCAGTCATTCTGATGACTGGGGCTAATCTAACAGCCATTACTACTATCATTCACTTAAGATTTATATGTGATTGCTGGGTACTTATAGCTAAATAATAAAATTTAGGCACTAGGTTATTTATACCCATGTTGGTACAACTATGGGTTATAGGAGTGCGAACAAGCTGGCTGAAGATGTTATTTTATGTGCCGTTATTCTGCCAGTGGATTAATGATCAGTCTCTGCTTCAAATAAATACACTATATACCATTCTAAGATACAGAAAACAGTTCCCTCCCCATTCCCTTTGGATGAATTAAGAAGCTCAAATTAATTATATTGGAAGACCCCAGTCCGTATGAATGGTTCCCTGCTGAATCTTAGTGTCAGATTAAATTATTGCAGATCATTTAGGTCTGGATTCAGATTTGAAGCTGCAGATCTCAACTCTCAGATCTCATTATCCCTCCTCTGATGTAAGTAAGGGGGAAAAAATCAATCAAGCTGTTAAAATGCGACACAGAAACCTGGTTTTCTTCTGTACCTAGAAAGGATGCTCCAATCATCTGTTCCTGAGAGCCCAATATTACAAGAATATTTTCTGTGCTAGCATGATGAAAATAAACATGGAGATCGAAAGCAATGGATTCAAATATTTCTCTCAAGACCTTTTCATGGAAAATAGTATGTAACCTATTCCCAATGAATGAAGCAATAACAAAGCAGATGTTAATTTACAATAATAAAAGCGAGTTATTTACCCCTGGAACAAATGTATCATTAGAAGTTACAGAAAGTATGTTATGTTAAGGAGGTGAATCATACTTCATTTCCATCTTCTGGCAGTTATTACTTGGTACCTTACATTTTGCACCTTTTTCTCAATTTTAACAGGGGGATAGCACTGCTTGAGCTTATTTGAAATACAATTAAGTCCAGCATTTCAAAATCTGGGATTAAGACATAAATCTATAGTACAGTATTAAATAAGATGCCTGATTGTCAATTGAACTCAGGACCTGTAACTCCCACTGACTATGGTGGCTGTTTTGCACACCTGGAAATTAAGCCAGTTTTATGTATATGTTTATCTATGGTTTCACAAATCTATGTTTAGGAATGTAAGAACGAAAGTTTGGAGAACAAGTTTTTGCTTTTAGTGTGGTAGACATACAGTTTGGTACTTTTAGAGTTAATCCAAATAAATGTTAGGAAACCATTTTCCATTAGCCAAGGTTGCATTGATTAATCTAATAGATTTCTCCCCAAACTCTTTTTGTTTGATTTGTTGTGTTCTCCAGAAAGAAGAGAAAATTAAAAGTTGTCAAACTAACATTTTTCTAATAGGATTGCATGGCAGGGTTGTAGATCCCATTAGATTAGGGTTTAAGTGTATTTTCTTCTGTAGGATGACCAGTGATAAAAAATGTGGGTTTACATTCTATTTTTCTCCCTACAGTTATGTTCTGTGGTATGTCTGGATTCTCTGACTTCTACAAACCCCACTGGCTGGAGGCCATTCTTTCGTGGCAGAGACCTGAAGAGGGGTGCTTTGGGAAGCCCAGTGAGTGAACTTTAATCAGTTGAAATCAGAAGATTCATAGATTGTTATGGGCTGGAAGGGGCTTGTAGATCATCGGGTCCAGTCCCCCTGCGCTAGGCAGGAAAGACAACTGGGGTCAAGTGACCCCAGCAAGGTGACTGTCCAGTCTCCTTTTGAAGATTTCCAGGGTAGGTGACTACACCACCACTGGAAGGAGTTTCTTCCACAATCTGGACACACATGAAGGAGTTTTTCCTGAAACTGAGCTTGAAGCGGCCTTCCAGGAGTTTGTATGCATTGCTCTTCGTCTTCCCCAGGGGTGCCCTAGTGAACAGCTGTTCACAGTTCTTGATGTACTCCCCTGATGTAGCAGTAAGCTACTGCCAAGCCCCCTTTTGGCCTTCTTTTCTGTAGGCTGAAGAGATCCAAGTCCCGCAGCCTTTCCTCGTATGGCTTGTCTTGCAAATCCCTGATCATCCTGGTGGCTCTTCTCTGGACCCTCTCAAGCTTTTCCACATCCTTGTTGAAGTGTGGCACCCAGAACTGGACGCAGTACTCCAGCTGCGGTCTCACCAGTCCAGAGTTCAGCGGGAGTATCACTTCCTTAGTATTGTATGAGATGCATCAGTTAATGCATGCTAGTGTGTTGTTTGCCCTGCTGGCCACAGCATCATACTGCCGGCTCATGTTCATACGATGGTCGATCACTATCCCTAGGTCCCTTTCAGCTGTGGTGCAAGTCAAATTGTCGCCACCAAGCCTGTAGGTATGTTGGGGATTGTTTGCCCCCAGATGGAGCACCTTAAACTTCTGAGTGTTGAACTTCATCTGGTTCCAGTCCGCCCAACTCTCCAGCCTGTCCAGGTCTGCCTGTATCTGCAACCTATCTTCTGGCATGACCATGCTTCCCCATAACTTGGTGTCATCTGCAAACTTGCCCAGCAAGGTTCAGTCCAACTATGAGAGGAATGCAGTGCAAATCCAAAGCCTGAATCCTAGCTTTGCTCCCAACCCTAACCAAGCTTTGTGTAGGTTTGAGATGTGCTGTGCATTTCTGTAAATTTGCTGGCTTCTGTAAATTTCTTAAATATTAGCATGTTCCTGATCCATAACTCTCACCTGAAGTCACTCTCTCCTGTTTATAACATTAAAATGATTTAATTAGCTACCATCTGTGATATTACTAAAAAGAACAGGGACTTCAGAAGCCAGTGGAAGGACTCATTCATTCTAAGTGGCTGTGGTCAGATCCCAGGAATAGATAATATCACAGGATATCAGTGTCTATACTGTTTCTAAAACCTAGAGTAATTAAAACATTTATTAAACCTTTAACCCCTATTTTATCTGAATGTGAAGGACAATAAAATACTTGAGGCCCCTAATCTAAACTATTTTACATTTTGTGTGTGACCTTAGCAGGTTTTTAAAATGGGTACTTCTGCATTTACTCCAAGGCTTGCATTCTGAAGGTACGCCAAATAAAAGGGACAGGTGGGTGTAAAAGCCTTAAAAACTGTGTGAGAGCACATAAACCAAGGAGAACATACAC